CATAGCAAGTGGCTTCAAGAGGTAATTATTAGCTTAAGTGGGGAGTAAGACATGACTACTGTCACATTTTGATGCCTTTCTAGGCCTCAGAATTTAAAGAGTCTAGTATTTCTCAGATAAAAAGTTTCTTTTCTTTCTCAGAACACAGAGGACAAGGGGGAGCTTGATGCAAGATGAGGTGAGGCAAGAGAGCTATGGCAGGGGCCAGACCAGTTAGAACCTTTTAAAAGATTAAGGATTTAAGTCTTTTAAGAGCAATGGGAAAGCTTTGAAGGATTTTAAGCAGTGTGTGTGTGTGTGTGTGTGTTTGTGTGTAGGGTGTATGACAGATCAGATTATTTTTCCCAAAAGATTAATATAGAAGGGACTAGAGGGGGAAAATTGTGGATGAGAGAGACCAGTTACAAGGCTATTAGAGTAATCCTGCCACAAAATAGCTTGGATTATGGAGGGGGCAGTGGAAATGGAGAAAGGTATAAGCCTGAAAACCCACTCTCACTACTTCCCCCTCCTCAATGATTTAATTCATTTTCAAACCAAGTTATGTTATGTGCCTATAACATAAAAGATTTAGGCTATCATTCAGATTTTTTTTGTTCTCTACCTTCCAGTTAGAAATCTACAAAAAAAGGTAATTTGTTGCCTCACCTTATCCTATCCTACTTTTAAACTTTCTATTTCAAAAGTCCAATGATAATTATATATTGATAATTTTTTGATAATTATTATATGACAGCATTTGACATTTGACCTCCATTTCCTGAACATACTTAAAGAAAAAGAATAAAATTAAAAATTTTTCTTCTGATAATGTATCACCTTAGAAACTTTAAAGTATATACAGTCATGTGCCACATAATGTCATTTCAATCAATAAAGGACCACATGTATGGCAGCAGTTCCATAAAATGATAATGGAACTGAACAATTCCTATTGCCTAGTGTCATTGTAGCCATCATAATGTTGTAGTGTAATGCATTACCTTTTCTATGTTTAGGTACATAAATACTTACCATTGTGTTACTGTTGCCTACAGTATTCAGAACTGCAACATGCTATACAGGTTTGTAGCCTAGGATCAATAGGCTATTATCATGTCAGTTTCAAATCAGCCTAGTTGTGCTAACTCTGACTGAGGGGTGAGGTGGGGGAGCTTCATAGTGACTCAGTGGCCAATTAAATGCTTTCAAATGTACAGTCTTTGTGAGGCTTTCACATACCAACAATCATGCAAATATACTCAACACACCCCACACATTGGCCTTAATAAGAGAGAGGAAACCAACACACTGACTGAGGAATTGGGCAAGTCCAGATTTCTCTCTAAATACTGATCACTGGGGGGAAGGGAGGAGGGGAGTGTCCTTGCTCTCTAGCAGAGTTTGGGCATCACATCCATGGTAAGTTTCTTTGCTGTTTTTATCGCCCTCCTCAGGAGTGCCCTTGGTCATTATCTCAGCCACCTTTTGGGTTCATTTTCTTGTTGAGTCCTGGAAGGGAGGAGTACCTGTTCATAGCAGTTGTAATCTTATCAGCTCAGGCTACCATACCTATGCTTACCACTTTGAGGGGTCAGCAGTTACACTGTAGGCTGAATCACTTGTCATAAGTGGCTCCATTTGAGACATTTAGGATCACAAAACATTATATCAGCTATACCATATAGCCTCGTTGTATATTAGGCTATACCATTTAGGTTTGTGTAAGTAAACTCTATGATATTCACACAGCTAGGAAATCACCTATTACCTAACAATGCATTTCTCAGAACATTGTTGTTAAGTGCATGACTGTATGACATTTGGTGACACAAATGACAGGCTTTCCAATTATCTTTACACTAGCCTATGAAACTCTAGCCAGTTCAGAAGTTGTTTTTGTTTAATAAGGAGATGATGGCTTACTTTCCCTGGGGGAAGAGGGAACCTAATGTCTTATTAAAAACTAAAGACTTGTAAGTAGAGGGAAGAAATTGTTTAGTATGTCTCAAGCTCCCAGAATAAAAGCTTTGAATTTTCCTATACACTACTAGAGCAATCTCTCTTAAGAAGCCAGGGAAAGTTCCTGCCTAAAGTTACTTCTCATTTGCTTTTTATGCTGGATCTACTCCTATTTCCTTGGATCCTAGCCCTTCTGACTTGATCACTTTTAATACCAGCTACCTACTGAAACCTGTCTTCTTCTTGACCTTGACTCATTTCTATGTTACTACATGGACTGTTCAGTGCCTAATTTCATATTGGCTATCCTGTTTCCCTTCTGCTCACCTTTGACATGATAGTCCAGCTCCATGAATGGTTTTTCAAGAGCAGACTGTTACTTAGCATTGATATACCTGAAGTTTTTCATAGATAATACATATTATATGTATTACTGTCACAGAAAATAACATCAGGATATGTTATTGGACCTATTAATTTGAAAGCAACATTTTACCCTAAATTTTTCTTAGCCAGCTACATGACAGAAGATCTTTAGAACCTTTTTTTAACTGAGACTTAAAGCATTCTTGCTAGAGCTCTCTAGAGACTTAAGTTAATGTTTTAAAAGTGATATAGTTGTCATCAGCTCTTTTTCCTATACTAGTCTGGTCAATGTACATATTTAGTTATATATTCATTGCATGTATGATGTTCATCAGATGCCATATTTAATTATTTTCTTTAGTGTCATAAGCCAACCAGACATCCTATTTCTGGTTTCTCATTAGTATGTAAAGCATTCTTGAATTAATTCTGTATCCACAAGCTAAAAGAATATTTTATAGTATTCATAAATATAATTCAAAAATGATAACACTGCTACAGGAAAACCATATCTTATGTTTAGTGGTAAACACCAATTATGTTTGAACCAAATAGCATATTTAGAACTTATATATTGAGCAGCAGTATCACATATAGCAGATTTACTTGTTAATGTTAGAATACTAAATTGACTAGCTTTTGTCTACATAAGTAAGGTTGAAATTGGTACCCTGTAGTGTTTGAGAAGCTGAATTATTTTATATTAGGTCATTAAATATGAAATGTCTGGTTTTGAATCAAAAGTGTAGTTTATTATATCTCAAAGAAGAAGCAGTACAATTAATGAAAGTATGTACCTACACAATGGACACAGTTTTGCCATCTTAACAGTAGCTTGTTTATGCTAGCAGCAAAGAAGGCTGGAGAGGAAGTGATGATGAAATCATAAAAGGTGTTTTCCACAGCTTGTTGAGAATTGAATAGTTTTCCTTATGAGAACTGATCCTGAGCCTGGATGTAGTGGTAGTCAGCTGGTGCAGGGTCTGGTGAATATGGTTGATGACAGTTTCCAAGTCCAGCCTCTGTAGTCTGAGCAGTATTGTTTTCTGCGACACATGGTCTTGCAAGAATATTGGCTTCTCAGTTGACCTGTCTGGACTTCTTAATCACAAGCATCCTCATCATTTCATCCAGTTGGTTGCACTAGACATCCGCTATAATTGATTGACCAGGTTACATGAAGCTGAGGTGGATTATACCAGCGCTGAACCACCAAACAGACACCACTAACTCTTTTTGATGAATATTCAGCTTTGGACTGTGTGTCACATTTCATCTTTATCCAACCATTGTGCCAAATGCTTGTGATTGTCAAAAAGAATCCATTTTTCATCACATGCCACGATACAGGGTAGAAATGGTTTGCTTTTATGTCGTGACAGCAAAGAAAGGCAAGCTTCCAGACGATTTCTCTTCTAATGCTCATTCAATTCATGCAGAACCCATCTATTGAGGCTCTTTACCTTGCTCATTTGTTTCAAGTGGTCCAATATTGTTGGAATCATGATGTCAAACCTTGCTGCTAATTCACACATAGGTTGAGATGGATTTGCTTCCACTAGAGCTTTCAGCTTATCATTATCCACCTTGGTCTCAGGTTGCTCACGTGGCTCATTTTCAAGATTAAAATCACTAGAACAGACCTTCTCAAACCATCAACATACTGTGCATTCTTTAGCCATATCCTTCCCAAACACTTCAGTGATATTTGAAGCTATCTGCACTGCATTGGTTCCATAATGGAACTCAAATTTGAAAATAACACAAAATTTTTTTTTATCCATGGTTTCACAAAAATTGCTGTAAAAATTTTGAAAGATAAGCACAAGCTAAAATGTGCATTTGAAAGACTGATGACGTACCTTCATAACAAAAACAAAACAAGAAGTGTCAAAGTGAAATGTCAGATATTAACTGTCAAGTCAGTACTTAAAAAAATCAGACATTTCATACTTAATAACCTAATATACTAGTATAAATGAAGTTAAATTTATGTGGCAAATTTATGAGGGTTAACTTCCTGATATTCTAATATAAAATATTTGAAATATTTAAATATAATGTTTAAAAATTAATATGAATAATAACTATAAAATTATTATGCATCTTTTCATATGTAGCTTGTGTGATCCATTTCATTATTTTACAGTTGTAGCTTCTGTATTATTAGAAGTTTTAAAAAAAATCCTAAAATATAGTGAGGTTGTAGCTGTGCTTCAAAATTTACTGAAATGATATGTAGTGGTTATTATAAGAACAACATGCTGTGAGGAAAATGTGGTTAAAAAAATAAGGGCAACTAATGATGCAGTGATGAGACTTTAGCATTTTTTAAGCCTTTAATCTATGTAATTTCACCTATATGCAAAAAGAATTTGATGTAAATAGTTTAAACACTATATCATATACATTAATTATTGAATTACAATGAACATTGACATACTAGTGAACTCGTGAGCATTTCCTACCTTATGGAATATTTGTTTTGCAGGAGAAAATAGAAGTAGAAATTATTTTCACCACTTTAATATGTAATTCCCCATTAATATCAATTGTTACCGCAAAATTGGCTTAAATTAATATTCTTGTTATAATAGACCAAGGCAATTTAAATTTAGCTTTCTTTGTCTTTTTTGTTTGTTTGTTTTGTTTTATTCCCCTTCCTACTTCCCAATTATTTTATGGCATTTCAGTGCTTCAGAGAATTTAGATGAGCTCTCTTCCTCCAGTAGCTGGTTTCTTAACCAGAAGCACAGTAAGAAAAGGAGAAAAGACAGGACAAGATTGAAATCTCCATCCTTGACTATCGTGAGTACAGCAGCCCGAACAAGGCCACTTCAGAGTTTCCACAAACGAAAACTCTACAGATTGAGCCCTACTTTTTATTGGACTCCACAGGTAAGGCCACCTTTTGGAAAACATGATCAAAGGTTTCACAGCCAGTGTTGTTTCATATACGAGATGATGTGGATTGTACACAGTTATTTAGAATAATTACATGTAGAAAACTTAAAAATTAATGATATAATACATAGTAACAATATATAAGTGGGATTTAATAATTTTTTAAACATGGCAGTGTGCATTGGAACTTCTCACATCCCCAGTTTTTAAGAATCTACTATTATGCTTAAACTAATTTGAAAGAAAATTAAATGTCAGGATTTTTAAAATGTAAGGGTTATAAGGGAAACACAAATGTACTCTATATCTGTCTTATGAATATTTGCTCAGCTTTGTAAAGAAAGACAGCTGTCAGTTATTTTGGAGGAAATGACATTGCTCTCCTTTTTAGGTTTGGTATTTATTAATCTTGGTGAGCGTCCCTTTTCCTTCTACAACATAAGCAGTGCAACTTTAGATGTTTTTACTTCACTTTATATAAATAAAATATACTTCATTAAAAGCATTCATTTGGAAAAACATATTTTTCATTTTATAAACAAAACAATACTTCTTTCAGTGTACCTCTAAGCATGCTGTGATGAAGGGCAAAATATGTTGTCTCTAGTTCTTGCTGTATGACATGCATTTCCCTCCATTCTTTTAGATTTCTTAATAATATAGGAAAGGAAAAAAATTCTTGATATTATTTAATATTATTTCTGATTATCATTACATTAACTATTTTAGATATATTTGTGTAAAAATCACGATGCTTTTTTCCATTCAATTTAAGCTTTTATCAGGATCCAATTATAAATAGGAATGTGGATTCTGACAAATTAAGTTTTATTAAAAGATTAATTTTTACCATTTGGTGGTTTACCCTTTTGAAAATATTCTTTAAAAATTATTTTATTTTATAATTTAAAAATTGTTTTATTTCATAATTTAAAAATATTTTACCTTAAGTCAACCTAATGGGAAAATTATTTTTATTTAAAGTTTTTATATATGAAATTATATTTTATTTAATAATTTTTACTTAAAGTTGCTGTAAACAATAGATAAATAACATTTTTGATATGTGATTTTGTGATTTCATAGTCATAAATAGAATTATCTATCTAAAATATTTTACCTATTAATATGTCATAGTATTCTGCCTGGAAGAAATCTGCTGAGTAAGTGGTTTGCTAGATTTTACTAAACTAATATATGCTTTGATAATGTAAAGATTGGCCTGGCAAGGTCTGAGCAATTTAAAACTTTCAGTAAACAGGAAGAGAAACCAGTTGTAGGGTTATTGTTACTAGTAGCCTACATAGTTTACCATATTCATTACTATGCTAAGCATTTTCAGTACATTATTTAATCATTAAACATATAACTATTAGGTATTATTAATCCCATCATCAGGTACAGAAATTGAGATTTAGGGAGATAAAGTAATTTGTCCAAGGTCAGATTAAGTAGTAATCAATAAGTCTACTTTCAAAGCTCATGTTCTTACCCATTATATTTATAACAAAAATAAACCAAATCCTTTGTGGGCCTGAAATCAATAAAGACATTATATTTGGGAGTTTTTCTGGTTAGAGATAGTAAGGTATACATATAAAAGATGGGCTTTGAAAGATAAGCAGAGATTTGAAGGGTATGGGGAAAAGAAAACATTTTAAGTGAATAATCGGAACATAGGTGAAAAAAAGTGACAGAGAATAGCAAATGCCGGCACCCTTAACTTATCCTCCAAATTTCCAGGCCAATAGTTATTTGCCTAAACTTTAATTAAATGTCATTTCTCTCAGAAAGCCTTCTTTGACATCCACAGAATTGGATAAATATTGTTATAGCACCCTGTTTTAACCTCATTATGTTGGAATTTATCATATTATTCTATAATAATCTATTTTTTTCATTTCTTACTAAATTGTAACTTTTTAGAGAACAGGGACTATATTTCCGGATCCACAGGGCCTTGAACAGTACCAGTAAAATAGTATATGCTCAATAAAATAATTGTTTATTATGTTAAAGAATTAATGTAATAGAACATAGGAAAATATTTAAAAAGCAATGGAGAGTGGGAACTCATGAATGTGTACGTGTGTTTCTTAAATTTGCCTACTGCAGGAGTCTAGAGAAGTGATGTTCAATAGAATTTTCTGAAATAATTCAAATGCTCTATATATCTATGCTGTCCAATATGTAGCTCCTAGACACATGTAGCTATTGAGCACATAAAATATGGCTTATGCAACTGAGGAACTAAATATTTAATTTATTTTATTTTCATTAACTTAAATAATAACATGTGGATAATGGCTACCAAATTGGACAGCACAGACTCAAACTTACCCTGATGGCAATGAATACACCTGGCATTCATATCTTGTTTTCTAATATCATCCTCTACTAAAAGAAACCAGATGTCTTTGGAGTAATGGCTGTTTTCCAGGGCTGAGGCGGAAAATGAATAAGATTAGCCTGGCTACTAAAGAAATTGCATTTCCATAGCAGAGGATGTAAACAGATGGAAATCCATACCATGCTCGTGGATCGGTAGATTCAATATCATCAAAATGTCTATACTACCCAAACTGATCTACAGATTCAATGCAATACCTATTAAAATCCCATCAGCATTCTTCACAGATATAGAAAAAATAATTTTACGCTTCGTATGGAACCAAAGAAGACCCCGAATATCAAGAGCAATTCTAGGCACAAAAACAAACGGGAGGCATTAATATGCCAGATATCAAACTATACTACAAAGCTGTAGTAATTAAAACAATATGGTATTGGCACAAAAACAGGAATATTGACCAGTGGAACAGATGTGAGAATCCTGATATAAAACCATCCTCATATAGCCATCTCATCTTTGACAAAGCAGACAAAACATACGCTGGGGAAAAGAATCCCTTTTCAATAAATGGTGCTGGAAAACTGGATAGCCACCTGTAAAGGCTAAAACAGGACCCACACCTTTCACCTCTCACAAAAACCAACTCACGCTGGATAACAGACTTAAACCTAAGATATGAAACTATTAGAACTCTAGAAGAAAAAGTTGGAAACACTCTCCTAGACATCGGCCTGGGCAAAGAGTTTATGAAGAAGTCCCCAAAGAAAATCACAGCAGCACAAAAATAAATAATGGGACATGATCAACTACAAAGCTTCTGCACAGCCAAAGAAATAGTCATGAAGTAAACAGACAACCTACAGAATGGGAGAAAATTTTGCATCCTATGCATCCGATAAGGACTGATAACTAGAATATACTTAGAACTCGCGAAAATCAGAAGAAAAAATCAAATAACCCATAAAAAAGTGGGCAAAGGACTTGAACAGAAACTTTTCTAAAGAAGACAGAAGAATGGCCAACAAACATATGAAAAATGCTCAACATCTCTAATCATCAGGGAAATGCAAATCAAAACCACAATGAGATATCACTTAACCCCAGTGAGAATGGCCTTTATCAAAAAATCTCCAAACAATAAATGCTGGCATGGTTGCGGAGAGAGAGGAACACTCCTACACTGCTGGTGGGACTGCAATCTAGTTCAACCTCTGTGGAAAGCAATATGGAGATACCTTAAAGCGATACAAGTGATTCTATCATTTGATCCAGCAATCCCATTGCTGGGCATCTACCCAAAAGATCCAATGACACTCTACAAAAAAGATACCTGCACTCGAATGTTTATAGCAGCACAATTCATAATTGCAAGGCTGTGGAAACAGCCCAAGTGTCCATCAATCCAAGAATGGATTAATAAAATGTGGTATATGTATACCATGGAGTACTATTCAGCTCTAAGAAACAATGGTGACATAGCACATCTTATATTTTCCTGGTTAGAGCTGGAACCCATACCATTAAGTGAAGTTTCCCAAGAATGGAAAAACAAGCAGCAAACTGGTATTAACTGAGTAGCACCTAAGTGGACACATAGGTACTACAGTAATGGGGTATTGGGCAGGTGGGTGGGGGGAGGGGGGCGGGTATATACATACATAATGAGTGAGATGTGTACCATCTGGGGGATGGTCATGATGGAGACTCAGACTTGTGGGGGGAAGGGGGAAATGGGCATTTATTGAAACCTTATAATCTGTACCCCCATAATATGCTGAAAAAAAAAAAAAAAGAAATTGCATTTCCAGAGAGACACACCAAGCAGGATTGAAAATGGGCACTCCAAGGGGATTTATGACAGTCCTTCCATCTCAGATTTCAGAACCCCTGGATGAACAGAATGGTCCCAGAGATCCCCCAGCCAGACCCTTTTACCACCACCATGAGTGATTTCTGCATGAACTTGATGATCCTACAATATTGAAGAAGCACCAAGAATGTACCTCATTCACTCATAAACAGTATGAAGAGTTGGAGGCTCTGTTTGGCTAGACCATGTTCCCAGATAAAAATCTCCGGAAGACACTAGCTTTGAAACTCAACCTACCAGAGTCAACAGTGAAGGTTTGGTTCAGGAACAGGTGATTCAAACTGAAGCAGCAGCAGCATCAGTAACAGCAGCAACAACAGTAATAGTAATCATCAAAGCAACCAAACCAGATTATTCCAGCCAAGAAGAATATGCCAACTTTACCCAGAATATCTACCAATCTTTACTCTTTGTTTCCTGTGGTTTCAGATTTCTACAGCTACCTTCCACCTCAGCCCTTGATAATTCCAATTGGGCATGGGACTTCACCTTCACTGAGAGTCTCACAAGTGATTTCCAAATGCAGGATCCTCAGTTGGAGAGGCTGGTGGTCTCTGTTCCTGCTTTTTAACCTGATGCTTAAGACATAGGCCAAATTGTAGAAATGTACAGTTTTCCTAATGAGGATCAGATACTCGTCTCTATTCCTTCCACTGTCTGTATCAGTGTCTCTCATGCACAAGGTCCCAGATAGGAGGAGAGGTTTCGTCTGTGAGTACCCTTGCTGTTCCAGCTGTACATCTATCTCCTGGGCAAACCTGGTCCAGTATG